TGGACAATGGACCGTAGTTGGTCCCGGGCATAGTGGGTGGAAATGGCGGGACAGAGCTTGGTTGATTTGTGCGGAACATGCCTCGGTTCATTTCAGGAGCATCTGAATAACGTTTCTCACCACCAGAAACAGGAGAATGGGAAGGTACAAAACCGAGGGGAACGGACCCCGGAGAGTTGTAAGCATATCGCTGCGCATGAGGGGTCAAACTAAGCTCATCAGCTGCTGTGTTTTGAGTTCCATACTCATTTGGAGTCATTGTGAGTTCCATTTGACGCCCTGATTCCGGCTCTGTCGAGGCACCGACACCGGTAGCGAAACCAGCCACAGTTGTACCACCCACCGACGGTTGTGTTGGAGGTCGTTTTGATGGAGTAGGATTGTCTTTAGGAGGACCCGGGGCAATAGGACCGGGAATATCTGAAGCATTGCTTGCTGGTTTCGAAATTAACGAACGCAATGTGGTTTTTAGTCGATGTACAAGCTCGACCAGAGCCTGTGCTTCATTCGAAGCTTGGTCTAAATCCGGAGCAAGGCCTTGTGAGTGGGTCGGAGTAGAGGTAAAACATTCGGGTGGTAGACCGGCCCAAGCCTCGAGACCATTCAGTTGAACCTCGACTTCATTAAGATGGGTGAACACATCTGCTAATTGACTTTGGAAATTATCGGTGTTGCATGCCACAATGCTGAACAAGATAGAAAGTGGGGGGAAATCAGCATGCGGTGGGTAAATTGATATGGAATCAATGAACATATGACTATGAAGAAAATTGATTTGAAAATTTCAAATATCGAAAGTTGGCATAACCAACTGATCTAGAAGCAATGTGTTAATTATAAATGCATGAATGAATAGCCGTTACGAATCGTTATCAGAGCATAGAATTTGATCCTACACAACTTGAAAAGGTGGAGAATTAATACGAAGTGCAATTTTGAAGTTCGAATGCTTTTCAAAACCGTGAGTTCTTGTAGTCGTACTGAAATTTTAATTTGGAATAACGGATCAGTGTACAGATAATTGACCCTGGGTTGTATTCCCAACAACTGAATATTGAATGAACTCCCAGAAGGCCGCTGACAGCCGTGCATCGACAAATTAGAGTTTGTATTGCCAAGGTTAGAGCAAAAAGTTGGGTGACGCTGAAGACCGTTCTTGTATCATAGTCACACGAAACTTCATGAAGTTGGTTTGTTTTATCTAGGGATTCAGCCAAAAAAATCAAAAGCGCTATGTTAAACAATATTTTGTGACATTTTCTGTTATCTTTTTTATCACAGCCCTCCCACTTCTCGTTCTACCCAAACTAAGCGTTCGTCCGATCCCAACCCTCATTTTTTGAAGAAGCTATAAAGCGATATGGTTTAAAACGTGTTTTGTTACAACACACTTGTGTGATAAACACCAGAAGGGCTGGACCCCATAGTCACGAAAACCTGCTCTTCGGTAACCTATTCCCCAGGACCGGGAGTGGAGAACCACAGAAGACCCCGCTAGGTGTTACAAAAACATAACATTTGTGAATCAATTCTACAGAGAGATTTGTACAATATAATCTGGTGTGGGACGGAACGCACTGATAGACTCATTCTGTAAGAATACTGCTCTAATTGTTATCGGTCGTCTGATTCCCCCTGTCACACATTCACAACGTATTGGGTGTAACGCGAGTGGATCCACCCAAATGGAGGTCAAAACCAGAAGCGGCACCCTCGTTGTAAAAAAGAAATCTGATAGTTGGACATTATTACGGTTTCTGTTTGTGTTTGATTAGCAAAGGCATGAGACCAGCGAGGTTGATCTATTTCTGTATCAATCAAATTGACATCACACACAAGGTATAGACCAGAAAAGAAACATCGATAAGTTTGCACCAGAAGTAATCTGACTTATCTGGAGAAACTGTGCAAGGGAAGAGAAAAACTACGTCGGAATATGCTAGAGTCTAAAATGCTGGAATGAGCCCAGCTAATATTCACTGAGAAATGGTATATCAGCAAGTGAGAGGCTAGCGATAAAAAACTGCTGCGCTCCTCAAACGAAAATGCACACTGCACCCAGAAATCTTAGTTGCCAATGAAGAGACACCTCGTTTTAGCCACAGAAAACAGTTTCGCCGAGCACGTCTTTGTAATCATCTGATATGGCGATTCCAACTACAGTATTCCTCTGGTGAGTACAATTACTACAATGAGAGCATGATAAACCACTAAGGTTATAACCAGTTTGATGAACCATTAACGAGTGCTTCGTAAGACAGCTGAATAGCCCTGATTTAAAACTTGCGAAGAAGCCTATGAACTGACTTCGGAATGCCCCAGGAGTAATATTCCCTCCGCTTGTTGACGCAAAGGATGTACTGGGCATCCTGGACGCATGAACGAAGTCTGAATGAAAAAATCTGACTGACTAGATACTCAATCCTGTGAACAGCGCTCTTCGAACACCTTTAGTTTTCGGTTTGTACAACCATCAATTATGTACTTTCGTGTGCCGGTTACGGTTGCTCCTTTGGATGAACAGTAGCAGAAAGAGAGGAAAGTTGAAGGTAGAGTCGAAGAGAAAAATGGAGAACTTCAGGGATCTAAAGTTGCAAAGAAGTTGAGGAGATGCATGAACGCCATTACTTACCCCACTCAGCCATATCATTCAGTGTACCTAACCACCCGTTACGATCCTCTCGAGGTCTACAGTCAGGGAGCCTAATGCGAAATATGTGATCAAGTCTCCCGGTGGGGGTTAGCATCCTATCGTGCCAGGTCTTATTTTGACCGTCTTTGGGTTTTTTTCATCCACTATCGCTGCCTCGACAAACGTCGCAACCTAATCAGCGATATGCATAACACATGTCCAACCAGCGTAATCTATGGAGTTGGACCAGTTGCTCACGGTTACCTAAAACTATTAGCCCAAGCTCAGAATTGCTCCTCCGATTGCCCCACCAGATTCGTGCAATGCTGTGTAGACAGCGGTGTTTGAAAACCGACAGTCTATCTTTATGCTGTTTCCTTAATGGCCAAGTTTGTACGCCGTATAGCAGAAATGGTCGAACTGTCGCAGCATATACTCTATCCTTCAAGGACAGCTGGATGTCGCGGCGGTGCCACAGATGTCTCAAGTTGGCAAATACTAGCCGAGCCCTCTGTATGCGAGTTGACACTTCATCCGTGATGCGTCCACCATTGGGTCTATTATGTTCCCAGTTAAAGTGAGGCTGGGTACTGGACCAACCCAGTCTTGTAGCAACATTTTACACTTTGAAGGTGCGAAACGCATACCGCATTCAAGTTATCCAGAAATGCTTGCAACTTACTTGGATCTTCACTTAGTAGCACAATATCGTCTGCGCACTCCAGGTCAGACAGCCTGCCACCTGGGAGTAAATCGATGCCACTATCCTCGCACGAGGATAGGGCTGTTTCCATAATCAGATCTTTAGCAAAGTTAAATAGAAATGTAGAAAGAGGGCAACACTGACGAACACCACTTTCCGTGGTGAACTCGGGTGAAAAAGCTCCGTAAGCCCGGACTCGAC